TTTGCATCTCTATATTGTACATGATAATAAAGACATTAAAAAAGTAATAAAAAATATAACCTATTTACTCACTTATACCGTAGCTTTTAATAGTGAATTTTTGAAATCGGCCTAGTAGTTTTTGAGTATACGTACAGAAATAAAAATCTTTCCTCTTTATAATTTAGTGTAGATAAAAAGTAAGTAACACTGGATTTTATTTTTAAGGACAATCACAATCAAGCTTTCGAATTTATTTTCTTAAAACTGAAGAAATAACAATTGTACATTATAGAGTTTTTATAGCACCGCGGCCCTCAGAGCGATTTTTTTCATTAAAACAACTACCAACGCTTTGTAAGCTAAAAGTAAAATAATGTGCGATTACCATAATGAAATTGCCCGCAGGTCTGGAGGCCATAAGAAAAATGGCAAAATTTGTGGCGTTAAATAATATCGTTAAACGTTAAGAAAAATGGGTCCGCCCTGTAGGACCGCGCCGAATTGCCCCGCCCTGAAATTGCAAGTCGTATATTACACAGAGAATTTTCAATTACCACAATCCCGCGGTTTTTCATTCGTAATGTGACTTTTACTCATCGTTCCAGCCAAGACTTTCTTAAGTCACGCGCCACAGAGTAAACACTCGTAGAAGAGTCAATTTACACACTCATAGATGTTCATATGAATGAAAATCTAAACAACGACATTATTCAAAATTTAAATATTTATCATTTGTGATAACAAATTACTTTCCATACACAATATATAATAATTTTCCAAAATGAAGGGCAAAATATATTCTGAACCCGAATAAACCGTGTCCATAGAGAACCTACTGCATATTAGCATAACGTACGTGACAAGAAAAACTGATTCGTGAAATAATTTAGTCGGCATTTAGAAAAGTAATCGCTTTCTCAATAAAGCTTTTAAAACGATCACGGGACGCTGCGCTGGGGCGTTCAATATAAATTTATTGTAATGCAAATTGCAACTGCCAGTGAAGAGGTACGCTCAACTTACTGACAAAGCCCTTCAGTTCACATTTATAGCAACGTCTCTGCAGTGCCCGGCTCTTTGTCCCATTTTCAATAACCTCTCTGCGAACGCTAGACCGTTTTCGTTAATACCATTTTATTGTAATTCATATAAGCTAAACCATTCTAAATAATTGACAGAGTTGAAAACGTGCAGAAAAGAGATAATTTTCTCTAGCAGTACAGTTTTATGATACAGTATTTCTAAATTCTTTTCAAATGTAATATAAAATTTATTATTCTAATATCTTTTACGAAATAACTTTGGCACCACATTGCGTTTATAGCAAAAAATATATTTCGGCGAAAACTTTATAATAACAATTCCTTGAAAGTGCAGCAACGCTGCAATATCGAAGATTTTATGATTACCTTTCAGAGAGCGGATGTAGCGAGCCCGTGCACTAGCCCAATTCACCCTCCCTGTCATCCCCAACTAAATGGATCGTGATAAAACGAAATAGTCAATTTCGCTATTTCAAATGATAAAGTTTATCTCCGAACAACGAGTAAACAGAATACATTTTGTTGTAAAATAAGTGAATCTTTTAATACTAGCTTTCGCCTGCGACTTTGCGTGAAATTAAAAACAAAAGTAAGTATCCTACGTGTTTTTTCAGACTATACATATATGTCAATATTCATCGAGTTCCATTCAGCTGTTTCGGCGTCAAACTCTAAGAAGTATTCATCCATCCACTTTAGTAAATAATGTATTAAAAAGAGGTTTTATTTACTGTAAGTTCACATGAGGTCCCAAAAATATAGTCTTATTATTAACCAACTTCAATAAGGAGATTTTTAAAATGTTTTAATTAGTTATTGTACTTTTTGTGTGTGTCTATTACTAAGCTATAGATTCAAGAGGACGTTAATCTGTGCATTCAAAGTAGCCGTTAGAAACTGCAATTTAAATGTAATAACTTAAATTTTACACACACTATATGTAATTTATTAAGTAATATTTTATTACGTTCATTCAATATTAGAACTGTCCACCTACAGTCATATCTAACTGTACTATGATTAATCTTGTGAAACAAAACAAAGCATTTCCTTGGTATTTCAAAGGCTTTTCGATCGAAAAAATCTGTGCGTAATCGATTATAGTAATTGTGGCACATCATCAATCTCTTTTAACTTTAGTAACGGTATTATAAAGTTATGCAATTGTTAGATACTCCATTTACGTTACATTTACAACATTTTCTTGAATCATTTTTAAATTTCTCTATAGTAACGCACAGTTTTATTTTTAAACTAGCTGTTCCCGTGCGGCTTCATTCGCATGAAATTATGATTTATTTTATTGTTTACATTTGTCAAATTATCAATAGCAAATGTCAAAATGACATGACATGACCAACCTTAGCAATCTTTCTTTCTTGATGTTGGCAACTTATGGTCTCTTTCCCACATTAGGGTTTTTATCCAAAACATTTACCCCCTAAGTTTAATGGCGTGAAAATATATAACCTAAAGCATGACATAAGTATAGGGCTTTTTATTAGAAAAAAGAATTATTCAAAAATATGCTGTAATTGCTGACATCTTAGGCAACAAAGAAGTGTGTATTTACGCTTTATTATAATAGTATAGAAATATAGATAATCCTAAGAGCGTGCTCACATCTAAAATATCTATCGCACAAGTATTTAGTCACGCTTTGATTCCTATGAGCTAATCTGGAGGCACACAACTTGATTTTTAGTTGTGCAATTAAACAATGGAATAGACTGCGATAGTTTAGTCAAAAGTGTTCGCCCGCGCATAATGCTACATTTTTGTTCGACGTTATTCAATTTTTAAACAAAAGATGTCGGTAAATTTATTTCGTAGATCATGAGAAAAGATAGTAGGAGTAAAAGAAATATCTGTCTTAATTTTAAATGAAAGTAGCCGTCTTTTCCGTCATCAGTCTGTCTAGGAAAGGAAATTAAATGCCTTATCTCAACGCCGAGATACAATCCCCTCGGCTTTTTCATATCGGTACTTTGACGTGGAAAACTGTTGTTCATTTTATTAAAAAACAAAACATCTTTTAATATCTACAGGAATAAATATTTAGCTTTTAAAACTAACTCAACAGTATTTCAAGATAAATAATTTAAATTACTCTTGTTCCTAAAATACGATTACAGTAGTACTCGTTAATTATTTTAACAGTGGTAGTGCCCGCTTTAAAATCTTAGCACGAATGGGCCGGCACGCCCGGTGTAAAACCACTACCACACAGAAGACAGGCGTGAAATGGGAGCAATTCCGTGTTTCGTCTGATGAGTGTGGTGCCGGAGGCCTTATTTAAGTCCCTTTCTCTTTACTACCCTTTTCTTATAAGGAGAGGTTGGGAAGAGAAAATGGATTTGACAGTGGAGAAGATGCATAGGATGGGGAAATATCCTCTTTATGTGCGTCTCCTCCTCCGTCGGATAAGGATAGGCAACGCATCTGCAATTGCGGCTGTCTATGGGCAGCGGTCGCTTCGCCATTTTGGCGATTTCAGGTGGTTGCTTGCTCGTTTGCCACCTTATGTTATAAAAAAAAATCCAAAATGTGGTTTTATTAATAAGTCGAGCAACATTGATTTATATCAATAGATAGGTAATTGCTTGGAAATGATAGCTTTTACTCTAATCATAGACAGGGTAATATTTATAGCCTTTCTATATGTAGAAGTCAGTGTGCTCTGTCACCAAAGATAAATGAAAGACTAAAGATTTTTAATCTATTTTTCAGTCAAAGAATAGGTATGTATGAGTCGTCTCTATGTAAAAAAATTTCTTTTTGAAATAAACTAGTGAAAAATGACGAGCGTAAAGAACTGTGGACGAGAAAAAGAACAACGTCATTTAAAGACACATATTTTTATCTATTTTTTTACTGACTAAAGTAAAATTAAACGTTAAAAAATTAAACATTAATACATTTTGTCATCAGACTTCTCATTTAATCCATTACTCAGCCATCAAGATTTACATTAATCTTTAATTATTCTAAACAAGCAGACGAACAACAAGATAATCCCGAGAAGGGAGCAAATAATATAATTGAAGCTAACAAACTTTTAACTTTAACTTAAAAGTTATCTCTTGCTTAATTACTTTTTCATTTATCGTTGTTTTCCTAAATCCATAGCAACAATCTATATTAATGTTACAAAGAGGAAAGAGCTATATTTTAGTATACATATGTCAGTTGTCCGTCTATAACTTTGTCAATAGCTGTTGTCCGCGACTTCGTCCATGCAATATTAAGATAAAAACGTAGCCTATAATATGCCCGTCTATGTCAGCTACTCTTCAGTGAAAGTCCGGTCGAAATCTATGCAGTCGTTTCGGATATAACCCGGAATAAACGCGGGTTGTGGACGGACAGACAGACAAAAAAAAATGCAACGCAAATACGTCATCTTCCCGAAATCTAGAATTTTTTTATATTACAAATAGACACTCCAATTTTATTATACGTATAGAAGATAATAATCTCTTATTAAACCTTTTAACATGATAATTGAAAGGTAATGTAGTAAATTATCCACATAGCAATCCTGAATTAAAAAGTCCAGTATGCTGTCCAATAAAGAAGATTTAGACGGTAATAAATTTCAGGATTCGCTAATCAACGGAATCTTTTCAGTGAAATGATTGTGGTACGTTTTATAAGGTATGCGTTATCCCGACTCCCAGACTATCTGAGACTGTCCGTAGAATTGAAACTGACGGGAGCACCTGGCTCTTTTCGACGAAATTAAAAAAGTTTCTACCTACAAGAGAAGTTCGCAGGTACCATTTATTTAAATGTTAAGGGATCCCTTTCGGAATACGACCGGAATTTTGTCAATTGCAATTTTTGTGCTGTCTGTCGATTTACTATAGTTTAAGTTCGTAATATGTTTACAATTTTAAGCCTGATATACTGTACAGTAGTATTTCATTGATTTTTTATGAAATAAAAGAGTATTTATGTTGCATAAATATTTATTAGTAAACAGTGCCATGCAAACATCTTCAAAGATCAATCGTTTCTAGTAATACGTATGATGTCTTTATCGGTTTTGTGTTCAAGAAGTTTAATATAATGAGTTCTTCAGAAAACATTATTTACGGTTGTTTTGCATTTAATTAAAATAAATGAACGACGGACATGTTGGCATGGCTGTAACATTTGCAAGAACCAATAAAATAAGCTGTAATTGTTTAGAAAAAAGCCATTGTTGGTAAGATGTTTTAAAGACATCTCATTAACCTTAACCAATTCTGTATATCAGGGTTGCACAAGTTTGTGTAAACACCAGGTGTATTCGGTCGAGCACATCCGTACCCATGGGACACAATTCCCACTTGTGATCTTGTACCAGTTTTAGCTAACGGACCACCGGAATCACCCTGTAAATAAACTTTATTAAATGCAATATACATTGGGTCACAAATTTATTGACACGAAAGCCGAACACTGAAGCAGAGCAGTGCTGCAACTGTTTGATCGTTCAAAGCAACACAGTATTACAATGTCTGTTCTGTCCTCGTGTGAAAATTAATAAACAATATCACAAGGTTAATTTATTACCTGACAAGTATCCTTGCCACCTTCAGGAACTCCGGCGCATGTCATTCGAGGAGTTAAGTAGGTATAATTCTTCTTGCAGTCATCGAAAGACACGGCTTTAATAGTAACCGCTCTTAAAGTAGAACTGTCTTGTCCTCCTTCCTATAAAAATAATACTATGGAATTTTTAATCTTCGCGACAGAGTAGAAGCCGTTCTTTAAAACTTGTAGATTAATTACAACAAACTATACCTTATTTATATTCGCAATTGCTTAAATATTAAGTTAAAACGTTAACCTCAAAACTTTTTCTATTTTTTTTATTTATAAAAAAAAGGGGGCAAACGAGCGGCGTGAACACCAAGGTGGTCAACGACGTCCATGGACATCCGTAACACCAGAGGAACTACAGATGCGTTGCCGGCCTTTGAGGAAATGATAGTCTCGCTTCTTGAAAGACTCTAAGTCGTATTGGTTTGGAAATACCGCCGAGATTTTCAATTTATACTCACACTCGTATCTCCCCATCCTGTTATAGTAAGATTGGTTCCTACAGGCACGGAACAGTTACTCTTAGGTAAATCAGCGAGCGAGCTGTTGGTCCCATCAATCGTTATTCGTCTAAAAAATCTAATCACGGCGATATCGTAATCAAATGTTGTAGAATTATAAAAAGGGTGCATAAAAAGCATCCTTGAAGTGTACGTGGTACCTCCGCTTGTTGTATACGTACTGCCAACCCTAACTGTAACTGACTCCTTGCTGTAATAAAAAATAAATAAAAAAAGTAAGAGCGGGCGCACATTTTTAACTAAACTACGGCATAACTATTGTGCGATTGTCAATTGTTACACAGCCAATTCAACTGTTTAGTTACACAACAAATACTCGAGTAGTGTACCTCCATATAATCTCATAGGAATCAAAGCGCGACAAAACAGTTGTGCGATAGTTTAGTCAAACTTGCGCGCGCTCGAAATTCTTGGGTTAGTGCAGGCAGGCTTTACGAGGTTTTAGGCACGTGTGCTAAACTTTATTATTGAAGAATTTTAACGTAAAGAAAACTTCTATTAATTTTCTGTGTCATTGAAATATAACGGTGTCAGAAATTGTCAATTACATTTGGTGGTTATGCTCTTTGTTATTTGAATTAATCGATTTCCTATGTAAATTAAATGCGAAATGATAGTGAATGGATAAATATTTATATAGTTTAATTTGAGTGAAAATATTAGATTCAATATCATAATAACTTGCCTACTTTAACCTTGCGCATGCGCCTAAATTGATTTGTCAATGTCAGTGTCACATTAATGTACATAATTGCTAGTCGCCCAACAGTAATTTATATCACTATTAATTTGTCTTGTTAAAGTACATTAATAATGTTTGATGTGTTAGTTTTAAAATTAAAAATAGAAAAAATTTCAAGCGCCAATATGATATAATATAATATAAAAAAAAATAACTACAATAATACTACACAAAGGTCTGAATGATGTTCATTATTCTAATATGATATTGAGTGACGCGATTCAGGGAACATAGCACGAAAATTTGTATTGGATTTGCTGACATCATACAAATTTTGTCGAAACTTTCTCGGAAATTTTAGTGTTATACCCTAAGCTCGAGTCAGAGTATGTATACGTACCCTGTGATACAATGTGCAGCGGTGAGAACACATCTCTGGGTTGCAATGGAGCCTCCACACTCGTAGTAATCTTCTAAACCCGCTTGTTTGAGTACCAGATACACTTGGTAAGGGTAATCCTGTATAGTCGTCTCAGTACCGCCGACTATTTTACCGTCATTTGTTTTGTAAACTCGACGAGGTGAATGTCGACCGATGACACCTAAAAATACACAGTAAACAAAAAAATATAAATGATGTTCAAAATTTCAACCTACTATGTTTACCAACAACGAAGTTACAGGGGTGTCAAAAGTGCTCTGAACCGCTTCGAGAAAAAGTGTGCCGTGCCGTGCTCACCTCGGCCAAAACTAGAAAAGTGAACATAGAATTTTCGTATTTTTATATTTGATATTTGATTCTAATAAGTACTTGGTAAAACTAAGATCGTAGAGGAAAACAAGTTAGACGACATTTTTACTAAGCTCCGTACTACAAATTGAACTAAAATTTAATAGCGTATATCATTACTAAATATTATAATATATTACCTGTGGTGGCTAAATAGAGAAGAGCCAATAAAATAAAAACGTGTTGATTCATTTCTTTGATTTTGTGGAATCTGTCACTCCATTCGATGATACTCTCTTAAATATGTTATTCTCTACAATCATTAAATACGGTAATAGTGGCCTCTAATAAGATTGCAAATGATTCTTAATTGGTAACAATTGTACCCTCATGTGATAAGAAGACTATTACATCTAACTAAACATACTTATTTAATGATTAAACAAACATTTTCAATCAAATAAAGTTACTATATACTAGTCGGCATTATAACCTCATGGTCATCCATGTTATAATAATTATCGGAAAGATTCGTTTGAACAAACTATTAAACATTCCAAATAAAAAATAAAAACACCTGCAATGGGGTTTAATTAAAAATATCAAAGTGACAGTAAACTGAAAGTAATGTTATTTTTATCAAATAAGAAGTAGCTTATTTTAATACCAAGAAGCTTGTCAGAAAAACTTTTCACTTTCTCTATTTTTAAAACGAAAGGTATCACTTTACTTACAACAAGAAGTAACTATTATTTTACACAAAAAAAATCTTAAAATTTAATCAAATAGTCGTATTGTATTTAAGAGCGAAATTTAATGTAACGGTTCATTTTAACAATAACTATAATTAAATGAAACACTATAAGTTGCCAGTATTTAAGAAAAAATATTGCAACACCTACCAAGGTGGACAGTCAACAAAAGTAGATGTTTTAATACCGTAATTTTTTGTATTTAAACAACTACAGATGTTTATTAAATAAAACGAATGTAACTTATTTGTTATCATAGTGATGTAACGTTAAATTTTTTGGCCTGTCCCACCAAATTGCAAATTGTCTGATAACAATCCAATGTGTAAAATATGTGATGGGAATATCGGATTTTGTTCCCGTATCTGAGAGTGACGTCTTTTTAAGCTATCTGAGCCTCATCAGCCAGAGGTTGGACAGGTCCTTAGCCTTTCGATTTTTAGTGTACAAGGACATAATTCTCTTAATTTACTTATCTGATATGAACGACATTTTAATGTGCATCAGTATCAGTTTTAGGATAGTTAATAGACTGGTTAAAGACCAACAAGATAGGTTTAACACATTTTCAGACAAAACCAACAGAAAGCTGCACCTTTCTTGCCGAACTCGACATCCATCTTTAACCATACAACTTAGTTTATTTATTCCTTGGCACATAATTGCGTTTTTTTACACTAGCTGTTGCCCGCGACTTCATTAATAGAATAGAATTAAAAAATAAATAAAAAGGGTTAGCCAATGTTACTTACTGATTACGTAGTTTTTTAATGATGAAAGATTTTTTAAAATCAGCCAAGTAGCTTTTGAGTTGTTTTAATACATACAAAAATACAAATGTTCCTTCTTTACAATATTAGTATAATATAAATACAGATATCGTTATGTTCGAAAGATACGGGTTACTTACTAGTGAAAAAAAAACACTACCGCATCACTTCAGTCAACCCGTGAACATGGCGCATGCAAGTGTGCTGAAATATCGGGAGCTAAAACAATCCAATCGTGGTAAGAAACCCGTATCTTACGAACATTATATTTGTAAAATCCACGACAGTTTAAAGTTATATACAGATATCGGTGTCTGTATTTTATAATATATATCAATACAAGTGTCACTGTAATCGAAATTTACAGTTATAGTCGGACAAGGATTTTTGACCCGGTGGCTAATGTCAAACTAAATTATGATACCTCACCAACGTCACTCTATCAATATAACAATAATGTTACAAGATTTGTTGTATTGTAGCTGTTTTGTTTTATTTTTTATAAATCATTTTCTGTGTCTAAGTATGTTTTACATTATTTGGTGACTAAAGCGCCTCTCGCACCGGGCCAGTCGGATTATACCATAGTATAGTTTAAATTGGGTTTGATTTCTATATCTACGTATATTTTTGTATGTAACAATTAATTATCAACTAATATCAGATAGTCAATCGCTTTTTATTCTGGAAGTAAGTCTTAAGTAAGGATTCAAACGTTTTAATGCTAAGCTAATTAGAAATCTAAACTAAAGCGCCAACAATACACACAATCACTTGGTGTTGGGTTCGAATCCGACGAATCGACTACTGTTTTGAACTATTTCCTATATTAAGAGCTTACTTAAGGAATAAATGCAGCCCGGGATTTGAAGATTGAGTATCATTTGCACGTGTAAAGTTTTTTTTTAATATTTTTTTTTATTACTGCTTAAGTCAAAAATTCAAAACAACAACCAAAGTGCCATTAAACATAATTTATTCATAATTTATTGAAAACAATGTGGTTAAAAATTTGTTAGTGAACATTTGAAATCGATATCATGAGAAGAAGACAATTAACGTTGAGCGTATTTAACAATTCAAGAGCATCCCATTCTATTTATCCATCTTTGAATACTTCTATTACAAACATTGGTATAAACTCCAGGAGTGTTAGGTCTCGCACATCCACTGCCATACGAAACAATACCTGATTGAAATCTCGTGCCTGTTATAACAAGTGGACCACCGGAATCACCCTGTAAATAAATAAAGACGTCAAAATACATTCCTCAAGAAATTCTTCAAATAAGTAACTGCAATACATTTACGCTCAGTAATGCCTAAAGGAAATTAAATCAATAACAAAAGCATACCTGACACGTATCCCTTCCACCTTCAGCGACTCCAGCGCATGTCATTCGTGGAGTTAAATTCGGATAGGTTTTCTTACACTCTTCATCAGAAACTGCATTAACCGTTGTAACCCTTAATGTTTCGCTGTCAGTTCCACCTTCCTGAAGGATCATTGTAAAATTAAAAAATGCTCCTGAATTATATCAATAGCGAGGACCTTTAAAAATAAATTTGATAATGGTATTGTCCTTAAAAAAACTAGTAAATTTTAGTAATTTACATGGGAACATTAAAATGGCATAATCTTTTGACAACATTGACAACAAGTTAGACCAAAAATATAAACTAACCGTAATCTTTACAAATTTAAACGTTATTTAATGTTATCATTAACATTTAAGTTTAATAAAATACTAACACTAGTATCACCCCATCCAGTGATAGTCAGGTTAGTACCAGCTGGTACAACACAACTATAATTAGGTGTGTAAACCAAAGAACTGTTCACACCATCTATATTAATACGTCTGAACACTCTGATAACTGCCACATCGTAGTCGCTGTTTGTTGTGTTGTAACTCGGATGTTGTATCAGCATTCTCGAACTGTAAGTGCTGCCGCCACTTGAACGATATGTACTACCAACTCTTATAGTCGCTGATTCCATTCTGTAATAATTCACAAACACACGTTAGTTAATGTACCTACAATAAAGTGTTAAAACAGTCATGCTAAACCTAACGTATGTGCCCACATTAGTTGAGTTCGTAATTTACAAATGATAGTGATGTAATACATTCGCCGTCTATAGGAACTGTTAAATATTGTACGTTGTTAGGTAGTTTAGAAGAAATTGAAAGACGTCTTGGTCTAATAACTATAGTTAAAAGAGTTGATACATATAATACTCACCCAGTAAGACAATGAGCAGCGGTTAGGATACAATACTGTGTTGCTATGGACCCGCCGCATTCAAAGTATTTGTTAGTACCAGTTTGTTTCAACAACAAATATACTTGGTAAGGATAATTTTGTATGGATGTTTCAGTACCACCAACTATTTTTCCATCATTTGTTTGAACTTCACGCAAAGTACACGCTACATCTAAGGAAGGTAAAAAATTAGTGCTTGGTCTTATTATTACGGTAAAGAAAAACATCGTGGTGCACACATTGTGAAGGAACCTGCACTGGGCCAGCAGAGTTGACTATGGCCTAGTCTACCCAAATATTAAGAAGGTTCCAGCCTTTGGTTGAGACGAGTTATAAATACTATAAACACAGAATTTAAATATAACAGTTGTAAAAATATGCGTACAGAATACTCACTTGATACAAGCACACAAAAAGCCGCTAAAATAAACGTAAACGGCTTCATTTCTGCATTCATCTGGAAATCTATCACTCAGCCTCAATACGTTCTTTTAAATACTAAATTCATTATCAACGGCTATGATAATTGCAGGTTATTACAAGATTACTTAATTAATGACAATTGTACCCACATGTGATAAGAACTCATTAGTGCATTTACTAGGCCATTTTTTAGACAATATTTAAATAACAGTTGTATACAATATAGCTGAATGTCATTCGTATATTTTCAAATATAGATATCATTAAAGATTTTTTTTTTTATCTTGAATGGTATTTCAATTACAATCTTAATATAAATCAACGTAAACAGTCTTATGTTTCACCTTTACAGTAAACGTTTAGCTCCCCCAAACTGATATTATAAAAAGGAAAACTTTGTTTGATTTCAATGAAATAACTCAAAAAAATAATGGGCCGTTTTCAATTATTTCCCATTAAAAAGCTACGTTGTCTGTAAGTAACATAGGCTGTTTTGTATTATTTTTAAATTTCACGGGGACGGATTTTTTTTGTGACAGAATAGCCGCTGTTTGTCTTGAAGAGACATTTACAGATTGACCGGGCTTAAGGTAGCTGAGCGCAGATGGCGTTTAGCCTAAACCTCGAACGCGGACGGAGTCGCGGGCGAAACCTAGTCTGTTAATATTTTAAAAAATCCGTGATACATTTGTTGTATTATCGTCAAAACTGAAACGAGTAGAAGTTGTTTTTAATACATTTATTAGTAAACAGTGTCTTATTTACAAGTCAAGTATTTAAATAGCTCAAAAATTGTCATCGGTAGCAATACATTATTAAATCTGGAATTATTTTGCTGTGTATTACAATATGCGTCTGTATGTCTATCCTTACATATTTATTTTTTTATTTACACAACAAATAAATACATGAATTAATAAATTTACGCGCAACCCATCATTCTAATCCATCTCTGGATGTTGGGATTACAAAGGTTACTATATACTCCAGGATAGCCTTTCCTCGCGCATCCACTGCCAAACGATACCACACCCACTTGCTCTTTGGTACCAGTTTTTACTAATGGGCCACCAGAATCACCCTGCAAATACAAGAAAAAAATTCTTCGAGCGGACACAAACGTTTGACTAAACTATGGCAAAACTCTTGTGCTATTGTCCATTGTTTCACAGCCAATTCAACTGTTTAGTTCCACAACTAAAAGTAGAGTGGTATGCGCCTATTCATATAAGCTTATAGGAATCAAATCGTGAGTCAACAGTTGTGCGATAGTTTAGTTTCAGCAGTGAGCACGCTCTTAAACCTCCATTCCTCGCCGACTTTGTTTAACAAAACAAAACTTTATAAATTATCTGCGAAGTAGTTACTCGAATTGCTCTATGAAATCTTACTAATATCATAAATGCAAAAATTTAGATAGATGGATAAATGTTCGTTGAAATTCGCCTCCTAAACAGTTGAACGGATCTCTATGAAATTTGTCATAGATGTACAGCATAATCTGGAAGAAATATAGGCTACTTACATTTGCTTTTTAATTCCACAATTCACCTTACCTTTGCACTTGATTAGACCTTTCAATATTTGAAAATATCCCGTAACGAAATATACTTTTTTTTAAATACATACAGATTCTTAGCAATATATGTATTCTTGTTTAACTTCAATTCGTTTAACGTGTAATGGGGTATACCTGACATGAATCTCGACCGCCCTCAGGCACACCGGCGCATAACATCCTAGGAGTTAAGGTCTTGTAGGTTTTCTTGCAATCATCGTAAGCCACTGCTTTAATTGTCACTGCCATCAAATTCTCACTTGTCATTCCATTTTCCTAAAGAGATAACATTGCGTAATATATCATAAAGCTAATGGGATTTTAGAACAGGCGCAGATCTTTGACTAAACTATGGCACAACTGTTGTAGCCAACTGAACTATAAGTTGCACAACTAAAAATCGAGTAGTGTGCGCAAATATATATAAGCTCATAGAAATCCAGCGAGATAATAAAGTTGGGCGATAGTTTACTCAAAGAACTGCGCCTGCTCTAAAATCTGCACGTGCTCTTACTGATGATTACGTTCAATATCCTTGCAATGAGTTTTAGACTATCATTCAGAGATTTAAGATATTTTGTGATTCTCTTCTCTCCCTACAATTGCCTTTTCCATTTATTACAACAACAGCTAATAATCGTTAAGTATGAAATCAAGGCATTATCAATTATAATCGTCTTTTAAATGTACACTATATCTGCAAATGCATAAGCCATACATGTGTTCTTGGTCCTTGAACTAATAGATAAAGTATAAATGCTTTGTGTACACTTACGCTAGTATCACCCCAGCCAGTGACAGTCAAGTTGGTGTCAGCAGGTACAGTGCAGTTCCCAGACGGTAAAGTGGCTGTAGTACTATTAGTACCATCAATAGCGATATTCCGCGACAATTTGATCACAGCTACATCGTAATCACTATTCGCAGCGTTGTATTGTGGATGCATTATCAGTTTTCTGGAGTTGTAAGTTGTACCACCACTGGAAGCTTCTGTACTACCAACTCTTATGTTGACAGATTCCATGCTACAATAAAAAAGTATTTGTTTATTGTCTATTGAGTAGGTACACCAATGGCATGTTCAAAGTTCACAACCAAATTGTGTATATTGTAGAAAAAGAAAACAAAAAAGCAGAACACACGTACACAGCACTCACAAGATTTTTTTTTTAAATAACAAACGTTGAATCAGATAACTATCACGTTAAGGTTGTACAACAAAATAATATCGATTATTCATCTTAATATTGCGAATGCGAAAATTTAGATGTTGGATGTTAGAGTTTGCTGCCTAAATGGCGGAATTTCGAAGAATTTTACCATAGATGTGTAGCATAGTCTGGAAGAATACACAGCCTAATTAGTTTTTTTTTTTTAATTTCACCCGGATGGAGTCTCCAGCGAAAGCTAGTTGAGAATAATTTGTCTTAACCTAAAGGTATTTTATGTGTTCCCCAATGACAAGAAATTAGAGGAAGTTTGAAAGTGGATATGCTTAAGAAGGGAGTGAATTCAGATATGACGGCTGATGGATGTTTGGAAAAGAAGTACGAACTGTGCCGACCGTCTGTAGGGACTAGGCCACGTTGATAATGACAGACAAATGGTGATGTTTTTGCTTATGTTATATGAATGTTGTGACCACCAGACCACAATTAAATAGTAGTGGTATGTAGTTTTGTGTAGCCTGAATGGTAAGAATAGTTTCGAATCGTGTAATTCCATACTTTTATCCTTGGTATATTTTATGGTAAATTCAGTTGTGATATTTGTTTATTAATAACAGTTTCATACCCGGAAATGCAATGGGCCGCGGTGAGAACGCACTGCTTGGTGGCAATAGATCCGCCGCATTGGTAGTAATCTCCTGTAATTGCTTGCTTCAGTAATAGATACGCTTGGTAAGGATAGTTTTGTATGGAGACCTCACTGCCGCCGACTATCCTGCCATCTTTTGTCCTGTGCACTTTACGAGGATGCCTGCAATACACGTCTGAAAAAAAGTTATTTTAAAGTTTTTTTTTTTAATTTATATGCGTTTCTCGTAAAATAATACTCTCAGTTTATAAATTTCCGAACATTACATATGAAATGGTGAATTTATGAATACTTTTTTGTTTATTTCAATTAGAACTACAAGTAGAATTTTCATACTGTGTTTTTATTATTTTTACATACCTGATACAGCTAAACAAAAGAGAACCACAAGAAATAAATTAAGTCGATCCATTTCTGTACTGTTGAGTGAAGCCTATTTTTCTTATGGATGTTTTTCTTTATATACCCTGCCTTTTCTATAACCATTGCTTGAGATAATTATGAAAGAGATAACGTGTCTTAAACGATTTCTAATCTTTGATAATTGTAGGAACAACTGATAAGAAGGGCGTTTAAAAAGAAGTGTAATTTTTCCGGTTGTTTAAAGTATTTTTTTTCTCGGAATATTTCTTTTTGTCCTGTTTAAAAAATCTCAGAACTCTCAAATGATACTTATTTTACAAAAACATGTTAATACAATTTAACCGAGAATAACCCAAATCTGGAGCCGTTTAATCCTTAAACATTATTTTACTTCTTGAATACGCAAATTCATCATCAACACCAGCTCACTGTACGTCCCCACGAGGGGCTCGGAGCCTACCCTAAGTTAGGGTGACTAGGCCTTAGTCAACCACGCTGGCCAACTGCGGGTTGGTTGACTTCACACATATTTTCAAATTTCTTCGCCGATATGTGCAGGTTTGATCACGATGTTTTCCTTTACTGTTAGAACGTCGAGTAAATTATGTACGTAAATTCGAGAAATCGAAAATCGCATTGGTACATGGCGAGATTCGAACCCAAGACCTGTAGATTAAAAGTCAAGTGCGTAAACTACTGAGCCACCGACGCTCTTACGCCAATTAGTTCCCTATTTTCCCGCATGGCGAGGGTTTTTACATTTCGGGTTAGGCTATAACGTGACACTCGTACGTCAATACATTGCATGGTATAAAACAAAGTCATTTCCCGCTATCTGTCTGTTTTTACGTATGCTTAGATCTGTAAAACTACGCAACGAATTTTGATGTAGGTTTCTAATAAAATTCAAGAGGACGGTTTATATGTATGTATATTACAATAGAAGAATGCTGATAATTTCAGATGTTTCTAATGTGATGTAAATAAGCATTTTCTTGTTAGTATGTCAAAAACTTGGCAAAGACGGGGCAGGTCACTAGTATCAAAATAAATATAGCTATTCATCCAGGATAGAATTGTAAAGTTCATCCCGATTCTGACAAAAGAATCTTATTGTAAAAAAAAAATCATACTTGCGTCTTCTTTTGTTTTAATTTCAAATGAACAAATAATGATATTTAGTTTAAATATATCACTTTAAAGGTTCCGTTGATAAGGTTTTAATGCTTTATTTTATCTATGACAAGAAATTTTATACAACCTAACTATCGGACGATTATTGAAACGAATCTTTAATACTTCGCATCGTAAACGCCGCTTACGAGCTGAAAGACATTAAAATTTGAAAGGAATTTGAAGTTTTAGGGTGGCCTTATTATTTAAAACGATGGTACATATTTAAATGACGTTTCAATATTCGGCCGTATGTGTACAGTCTTGTAAAATCCTTGCTTGTTCTAACAGAATATGAGCTCAGTAAGAACGGAAGAATTCAAATCTCTATAGTATAAGTACACTTGATAACAAATATTTCTGGGTTATTCAAATATTAAAATAATGTAACAACGTAAAAATAATTCTTCTTCAAATAAGATATTTATCGATGTCAGTTTCAGTATCAGAAAAACTAGTTACTTGTAAACTATTAACTGTAACAAAACATCATTTCTGTTTTTTAACAGACAATTTCAGTCAGAGTATTGTTATCTCGTATGCTCAATTGTGACATTTTAAGTTATGTAAATAAGGTTTAAGTCGTACTTGGCTCATTTCATTTGGTAAATGGAAAAAATAATTTAATTCACACAGTGTAAATATATATTTATTAGCAAACAGTGTCTATTTTACAACAAAAATGCACAAACAAATTCATTAATAGCACACAATAAGTGAAATGAAAGAAAGAAAGAATCCATAATTATTTGTTGCGCAAATTTTTCATATAGTTTTTTCCCTGAATTACAAAAAAAATAACAAAATTTTCCAAACTATCATTACCAAAGAAAGACTTTTAGTAAATGGAAGTGGTTTTTTTCTGCATTGTCTTAGTTCTGCGCAACAAATAAAGACCAAAAATGATATATTATTTATGCGCATTCCATTTCTTTCAGCCATTTCTGATTACTCGGTTCACAGAGGTAGGTGTAAACGCCCGGAACGTTTGCTTTAGCGCAGCTAAAACCGAAGGACGTGATGCCCATTTGCTCTTTAGTCTCCGTCACTATTATTGGACCACCGGAATCACCCTGTACGAAAATCACTCGATTAAACACATTTCAAGGGCTTTTATGTTCTTTATTCTATGACGATAGGAAGAATTTTTTTTTATACGATTTTTTTTTTATAAATTTACCTGCCTGATATCTTACTGCTAAAACTAAAACATCCAAGATATTGAGAGATTTGAAGAGTCATAAATATTGACCATCTATGCTAACTTTAAAAACACTTTTAAGCAATCTGTGAAATAGTATCTAGTTCTCTTGGAAATCGGGACAAACTAACAATTGTTCCTCGGTATTAATACTATAAGAATATATTAACATACCCCACAAGACCCTTTTCCATCTTCAGACACTCCGGCACATATCATTTGAGGGCTGATGTACGAGAAAACCTTCTTACAGTCTGCATCATATACCGCTGACAAAGTAACTGCTTTTAAGTTTTGGCTAAGTGGACCGCCATCTGGCTAGAACAAAATCTAATTTTATTTCCGAACTCATTTCATATTTAACCACATATGGTAACAATATTACACTAAAAATCTTTTAAGATATACTAGATATCGATAGTTTTTAGGTTATGTTTGGTATCAGAATGGAACATAAAGTTTATATTATCGTATATATGTACAATTTTTTTAGCTTGTTACTGTCTGATGTTATAGCCTGATTGCACTCACGCGGGGTCGGCACACGAGGTTTTGTGAACCTTAATTTTTGGCTTCATTTAACTACTTGGGATAATCGTATCGACAAGCTATTAGTTATTAAAAAAAAGTACATACGCAATAATTTTTTTTAATAACTGTACTCAAAATCTCTCTAAAATCATCTCTAAATATTTTGTCTTTTGTTAAAATATTTGCCTAAGATAATTACGACTAGAAAACATAGCTTAAGCGAAGTTTAATTGTTGACATTTGTGATAAAAACTATATTAGAAGTAATTTTAAGTACTTTCCCTGTATTTGTAGCAATTATGATAGCAACAACCACTGACCTCTATAAATAGACAGCCGTTAAAACATGGTATTTTGTGTCTATTTTAGCTATTTTGACACTGATGGTAGCAATTGGTCGTGGTGGCAAGAATTCGAAATTATAATAGAGATAGAGTTAACTGTTAATAACAACAATAAATTCGGTTGGAACATCAACAAAAGCCGGAAGCAAAAGCTGTCATACCTTAGCATGCACCTATCCATTCGTAAAGATCAGATCAGGCATTAAAATGTGGGCTTAATATGTAATGATTTATGTTTCTCGTTTCTACTAAGATTGTAAAGTTAAAAGCTTATTTCACTTGCTATTAGTATTTTGATTGTTATTTGAAAGTTTATTTCAAACTTCAAATGATAATCAGACGTCAATTATTGATTTGAAAGATTCAATGTCGAGTGACCGTTTTATTAAATAACATTCGTACAAAAGAAAAAATAAAATGTTTGAATAGATCGACGAGATTCAATCGACATTTTGTGTGGCAAATTATAACGATGTCCTTCCGCATTATTTCGATGTCGTGGTAGGTTAAGGCCAACGCTCTTTCAAAGTTTACTATATAATTGCAATGATTCAATTAGTTATGTCATAATTGTTATATGTGGGCGATTGTTATTAAAGTTTTATTTGACAAAACAACTTAAAACGGAATAAAACGCGTTAGTTTTAATGCTCACAAACTGTACAGTAAAAACTGTAATAAGCAACATTATAAACTATCAGTTAAACTGTACAGTACTGTTTAGTTAAAACTTAACGTGTGTAGCTTAAGAAAACTTTACATTGTAAATATAATAATCATCATCTTCCTTATATGACTCCTGTAGAGTCGGCGCAACAGGTTTCTGTCTTCCAAATAACTCTCATACGTCATCTCTCATCACTCCCTTTTTCATCATGTCACCTTTTATGCAATCCATCCATCACTTTCTAGATCTACCTCCACCGATGTGCTCTTCCACACTACCACATTGTAAATATAACAATACGGGAATAATTTGATGGTACAAATAAAACGTAATAATATGGAAAATACCTCCTAAGTCGGACAGGGACCGTTTCAACCAGTTATAAAGTTATACCAAAAGGAATAATGGATCGATATTATAGGCACACCGCATTAATATAAATAAGTGTCTTGTATATAAACATTATTAAATTACGAGTGCCTTTTAGTAAATTATGTCTGGAATAAAGTTAGCATAAATCATTTAAGGTAACCCAAAATGTGTCAAAGAAAAAGCTTAATTTGAATATTCTCGCAATAGCGATGGGCAACTTATGGTAATGTAGTTCCAACGGGCCGGAGTCATTCGTGTGATCCCGTCACCTTGTCGTAACAAAACCATGACTTAATTCGGGTAGCTTTTGGCCTGTTTATGCATATTTTGATAACATATTTCTTTATAAGCTCAAAGTTATCACGGCACAGTAATTTAGATATGAATAAGAGAACTTATAACAGGGTTTGGGTTTTAATTTTTTTTTTAATTTTGGCTCTTTGGGTACATTTCCATAGGTCACGATATATTGCGTTAGCTTTATTGCTTCTTGGTAGTAAAATTGAATTTCGATATTGGTACAGTATTTACTTTTTACAAAGCTGTAAATAATTATAAAGAATTTTCATTCAGAGATTTGAAGTTCGTATCGATGATTTTATTGACTTAATAACGAATAATTATTGATTTGTATAAAAAAAACTGAGTGTTAAGTATTAAACATACATAGTGTTGAAATATGTAAAATGTTTTAGTTAAAAAATCATTGAATTCTGCGACTAATTAGAATAAAAATACTTACAGTCTCATAAAATATTGATTAAAACAATCCGATCTACGATTAGAATGCTATTCTAAGTTGATTGTTGAAATACAATCAATTAAAAATTTAAAAAATTAATACGAAATAGTCCGTAAATAATTCGACTTTATATTTAAGTCACGAAAAGTTAATCACATAGTTGTATGTTATCGAATTAACAACATTAAAACATGTCGACGATTTAAAAGGCTTTTAAAACCTTACTTCTGCATAAATATGATAAAACACGTGTTTTCCTTATTTTAAAGGACAAAATCCAGATAAGGAACTAAAAGATTGTATTCAAAAAAAACAATAAACATATTCTAAGGTATTTCATTATTAAACTAGCTGCTCCCGTGCGGCTTCAACCGCATGAAATTATGAAAATTTCATTTTATTATTTACATTTATCAAATTCTCAATTGCAAATATCAAAATACCAATTACCTTACTATGGCAATCTTTTTTCCTTGAAGTTGGCAGCAACTTATGGTCTTTTTTCCACATTGGGGTATTTATCCAAAATATTTACCGCCTAAGTTTAATCGCGTGAAAATATATAGCCTAAAGCGTGACGTATGTTTCTAGGGCTTTTTATTAAAAATAGAGCTATTCAAAAATATGCTGTAATTGCTGACGTTTTAGGCAACAAAGAAGGTGTGTTTACGCTTTATTATAACAGCTAGTCAAATGTAAATGTTTTGGATATCATGTTCTTAATTTTACTGTATCAAAATGTTAAATAATTTAATAAAACTGATTTAATATCAATTCACAATTTGTTAAAAGATGTAAATTAACATAGAACATAATTTTTTTGAATATTTTTAATATCCGTAGTTTTAAAATAAACTATTACAGATCCTAAAAATAAATTGAATTGATAACTGATTTATTACAACAGAGGGCGCAGGTAGTTAGATCCTATCAAATTTCCAATATCACGCTGTGATAAGCAAGCCAGTATCCAAAACAACTCTATGTAGACCCAAATAAAAATACAGCGAATTTTCGATAGTATATTTTTTATCGTTTCAAGTTAACCAGATTTATTATCCCAATAGTTATTAGAAAAGTGGTAGTTTAATAGGATTTATTGAATATACTGAACTGAATTACTTTTAATTTGCATAAAAAAAGTATTTTGATAAAAAAAACTCCAGTTAGAAAATGATGCATTTTTAATTAATGTTTACCAAAACCTGAACAAAAATAGTAGGCAAATGATTTATTATTCATCGGAATTAAGTTGACATCTTATTTTAATTATGTAACTAACTTGATCACCAAACTAACTAATTTTCGTGTCTACCTATCCTTTTACGAATGTTGCAAAATGTGTATTTCGTTGCTGATGGATCCTAATTTAGATGCTAATATGTTCGTTAAAACGAAAACATATTTATATCTCCCTATATGCGAAAAGCTTGTCCGTTCCACTGAACTAGAAATAGACGAAGATGAATAATGAATAAGTACATTTATTAAAATTCAACTTTCAAAACTATATTTAGAAAGAAGAACCTATACGGGAATAATATATACATAACGTATGACTCTACTTAAAAATCAGCCTTAGTATAATAAAAGAAACCAAACTAGCGTTTCTTTGACATGCCTTTAAAAATACTAAAAGACAAAGGTTATAGAAAACCACATTCTTAACTATTTATGACTCCAAAAACATAAAATATTGTTCTAACAGAGTATACCAGTCCATGAGAACAAGATTACATTTTGAAAGATATAAGTAAAATACAAAACAAGAGAAATCGTAACGCTTTTTGCATAATTTCATACGTTAAGAAACCTTTCATAAATTGATTATTACTCTCGTGTAATTGTAACATACATTTATATTTTTTAATTGTAACAAGCGTGTCGATTTTATAAAGTTTGATTAAACGGCAAGAGTTTTTTCACCTCATAATCGATTGTATATTTGTATACTGTGAACATAATAGAAATGTATTTGTTTACTCAATGAAAAAGTAAACGATTTCAAATTGTAACACTTTCATATAATTATTCAACTTTTTGCAATCCAAAGGCATTGTTAGCAACCTTATTTAAAAATGTAGCATTTCGTTTATTTACACTGTTACATTATGTTACAACATTTACAAACTGGCTTCCTAATGTTTTGAACTTCTTGGGATAAAAAAAATATCTAAGACAAGTAAAATTAATCATTACACTAAGTGATACATTACGAAATTTAGAGCTTATTGAACTGTATTATTTTAATTGCGACTGAGCTGGTATCGTCTAATCATGTCCTATCTTAACTACACAATAAATGTAAAATATTATTGCGATTCCATTAAAATATACGAGAAAGTATACTTTTAGTACCCATTTTAACACTAATATCTAAGAACTCTATTATTATATATGTCGGCTAGAGCTAGTACGATATCAGTATTACTACTACTCGAGATCACATGTGGACGGCCATGGGTAAAGCCGGATTCCAAGGACACATTTACAATACTCCTCAGTCAGGATATCATCGATCTACCAAGCTCATAACGTTCAAACAATGTTCTCGCAACGATCCCTAGTTTCAGAATAATCTAAGTTCTCACAAAAGTCGCTTGGCGGCGCTCGTTTTCTAATTATGACTTAAATTCAAATTGTTTTCTTCTTCTGATT